CCGGAAACGATTGTATCATGTCTTCCTTCACAAGTCTCTCATCCTAGGTGGTCGTGTTTGCCAAGTTCGTGCCAATGCTGACCCCATTTGGTGAATTTTGAGGTGTTAACACCTCGAATTAAGTTTTTAAGGAACTAGTTTGCCTAAACCGAATATATGGCTCTAACTCCCCAAACAGAAACCGATTGGAGTCCGTCTTCTCCCACAAAGTCTCTCGTGCCTAGGCGGTCTGTGTGCCAAGTTCGTGCCAAGTCCGACCCGTTTAGCTGATTTTGGGGCGTCACACTCTCCTTTCGTGATAATTCAAGTTGGTTTTAAGGCAACTTAGTTTGTTGCCTAAATCGATATGTCGTACACTCCAACACCGGGCAATTCGAGTTGAGGAGTCGTCTGTTGCTCCCACAAGTGTCTCTCATGCTAGACGTCGTGTGAGTGGCCACTGAAGCTTATCTGTGCCTCAATTTCGATGCGACACCATTAGGTGTAGTGTTGTGATGGTGGTCGGAGTGGGGCGCGTACCACATGGATTATTTAAGTTTCTTTCTAGACATGCACCATATTGTGCCACTGCGAAATTCGAGTAATTATTTGTGCATCTATACTGCTAACACCCGAAACCCGATTGGAGGTCCCGTCTCCCCTACAAGTCATCTCGTTGGCAGGTGTCGCGTGGTGTGTTCAAAAACTTTTTCGGATGCACAAATATAGGACTCATTTGGTGATTTGGTTTATATGAACAGAATTCTTTGAGTGATAGTTTCTAAGGCAACATAGATTTGGCCCACTTAAAAAATATGGGCTCTAAACCCCCACAAACCGGAAACCTGATTTGTGTGATGTTCGGTCTTTCGCCTCACAAGGTCCTCTCCGTGCCTAGGTAGTTGTCTGTGTGTGCCAAGTTTCGTGCCAATCACGACCCATTTGGTTGATGATGGGGTGTTCAACACCTCGAATTTAGAGCTTTTTTAAGGAACTACTCTTGCCCTAAATCCAAGAGAGTAATGGCTCTGAGACTCCAAAACTCGCCGAAACCAGCGATTTAGAGGAGTCCCGCGCTCTTCTCACATAAGTCTCTCTCGTGAGCCAAAGGCGGATGCAGATAGGGTTGCAATGTTCGCCTGTCTCAATCCGACCTGGCACCGTTTTGGGTGATTTTGTTGGCTCGTCAACTAACCATTCGAAGTTCAAAGTTTTTTCAGGAACAAGATTTGCCTGAACCGAAAACATGGCTAGACTCCAAACCGGGAAACCGATTGGATCCCGTTTTCTCCCACAAGCTCTTTCGTTAAAGCCTAGGAGTAGAGCGTGTGGCATATTTTGCTGTGGCAATTTTCTGACACCGGTTGGGTAGATTTTAGGGCGTGACAACCGTATCAGAAATGTTCAAGTATTATTTGAGCAGGAACTAGTTTGCCTCAAATCCGTATATAGTATGTGATAGTCAAACACTCAGACATTCCGGAGAGACTGATTGAGATGAGTGTCACCTCGTGCATTTTTCTATCACGTAAATACTCTTATCGTGTCCTAGCGTCGTGTGTCCAAGTTTCGGTCAATCCGACCCGTTGGTTTGGAGGGCATCAACTAACACCTCGCATTACATTGAACACTTTTTCTATATGGTGCATACTAGTGGCAATCCTGATATGGCTTCTTATACTCACAAATCGGGATACGATGGAAGTCCGTTCTCGTCTGCACGACACACTTCGATGCATCGGTCGTTTGTGTTGACCAATTTGGTAGCCAATCCGACCCATTAGAGAGTGTGATGATTGTGGTTGTTAACACTCGATATTATAATTTCGTTAAAGGGAACTAGTTTGCCTTAAACGAAAAAATTACGCACTAATCCAAACCAGGAAACCCGATGGAAGTCGTTTTCCCCAATCTCTTGTGCTAGGCGTCAATGTGTGCACGTCTCCGTGCCAAAACCGGCCCTTTTGGTGATGGGATGTAACACCTCGAACTTCAATTTTTTAAAAAAAGTAAGACTAGTTACTGCCTAGAGTAAATCCAATTCTCTTAAATCCTATATTCCGGGAATGCCCATTTATGAGTCCCCAGTTTCTCACAAGCCTATTTAGCTGAGAAGCATAGGCAAATGCAAGAGTATATAATCAGTTGTAGCTTGAATTAAAATGTTTACAATTTTATACTGATCTCTTTGGTGGTGGTGTATATGGATTCTCGTCTTCTGCAGATTTCCCTAAATGCCCGGTGGCCACTCGATGCATCAGGAGCCTTATGATAGTCAACGGCATAATGTGTTAATCATGTTTAATTAGATATAATGTTGTGACTGACAATTTGAGACTAAATGCACAATAACATTCTAAGTCTTTATATAATTGAATGAACCTGTTGTTAACGTATTTCAACTGGCGCCTGTGACACCTAAGTGTTGGGAGACCTAACGACTGTAGTATGTGTGACATGTTAATGTTTAGATAACCTTCATCTTTTGGGGCATTTAATGGCTTACTGTTTTGGGCCTTATTGAAGAGACTAATCCATAAAAAGTTCCCGATTCAATCTCTATGATCCACTGGGGCGGTTCAAATGTTGGTAGAGAAACTTCTGCCCTCTTAGCCCTTCCCATCTAGGGCTTCTGTGCACTTCACACCCTCATCCCTTGGCTCGCGCACGTAACCTCCTTGTGTGCTATAAACACATTAGGATGGTGAGGGTTCCATGGACTGGTGATGTCCTGTAGCATGCATGCTTTATACACTGGCTTTGCCCTGAGTGGCACTTAGGTTTACTCCCGGATATGGCTTTGGTAACAACTCACATGATTGTCATGAACCTATCAACATCATGGAAGAATTGGATGCCATGATTCATCCTTAGTTTGTCATTCCTTAAGCCTTCCAAAGATCCGACAATTTCCTCAAAGGTCACCATAGAGAGTGGCCATTAACTCAATTCTTAGTGATAAGAAATGAGATATACAAGTATATGCCAAATTAAGATAGTTGACACAAAAAATAAAAAATGAACTTTAAATACAATCAAAGGTGTTTGGAAACTACCAAGGTCTGGATAACCTCTGGGTCATCTGCTCTTCGTGTCATAAGCCAAACATTCATCTTATCTGTAGACTCCTCCTTATTGGTCATCATATATTTTTTTAGAAATATGAAAATTAGAATCCAAATAATTTGCAAATATATAATGTTTATTTATATAAAAAAATAAAATAGTAAAATATAAACCTCATGCCGTATCTGAGCGAAAGTAGTACGCCCTGTGGTATGAGTTATGCCGTGAGCTCTCCGATTTTTAGCGTTCCTAGTTGCAATTTTCTATAATAGGTTCAACAAATGTAAGTATATAAATATTATTTGTATGTTTACATATCATACATATAACTTATTTGTATACCTCAGCATCGGAAGTACGCCAATACTCCACAAGTTCTTCCCACTGGCTTGGCGCAATGTGCAAAGGAACATCATCCTTCAGATTAGGATCTTCACTTCTAAGCTTGAAATACTTACACTTAATTTTATTCTTGTGATCCTTCCATATGTTGTTACAGTTTTTCATGCAGATTGGCTTGTACTCCTCTGGACATATATTCAAATTGTCCTATAAAACACAATTTCAAGGTTTAAATAATAATAACACAATTTTGGAATTTAAATTTTTGGACAAAAATATACTTTTACCTTCACATCCTTCCAGATAGCATCAAGAATGTCATCAGGCACAGTGTTCCAGTCAAGAAAAGTAAGAGGAACAATGTTACCATTTCGCACAATAATGCCAAGTTGAGTAGTTAACTTAGACACGTTATCCCCTATTGGACAGTAATTTTCATCAAATTGTATGTCCAATTTGGTACCGGTACCCCACTCCCTAATGCCCTTGGCACATCCTCTACCACGCCTACTCGAGGTTGATGAAGAACTAACATGACCTGTGAGATACAATAAGAATAAACAATATGCAATGATAATAAACAAATGCAAATTTAAATAATGTCAATACAAATCAATTTCTTATACCTGAGTGAGGCTGTGAAGAAGTCGAAGGATCTGAAAAATACAATGAAAATAAACAAGTTATATGTAATGAGAACAAATAAATATATATTTAAATAATTTTCATACAAATCAAAGCAAATTTATATACCTGCGGATGGCTCATAAGCCGATGACTCTAGTTGGGATGATAGCTGTTGCGGTGCCACTGATGGTGGACGCACCGATGGTAGGCCTAGAGGCTGAGTAGCTGATAGCTGGTGTGGTGCCACTGATAGGGGTCGATGCGGTGGCACTAATGGCCCCTCTGATGGTGCTCGCTGTGATGCCTCCTCTAATGGTAGTGCCACTGATGGTGGATGCAGCAATGGTAGGCATGGTGGCTGAGTAGATGATAGCTGCTGTGGTGCCACTAATGGTGGTCGATGCGGTGGCACTAATGGTGCTCGCTGTGATGCCTCCTCTAATGGTGGCACTAGTGGCCCTTCTGATGGTGGTCGATGTGATGCCTCCTCTGATGGTGGTGCCGCTGATGTCCTCTTACGTACCACGTCGGACATCATGTGCCGGGGATGATCAGGTTTCCTCTTCATTCCCATAATAATCTACAAGCAATATAACATTAATTAGAAACATAGATAATGGTTTGTTATCAACTATAATATGACATTAATTGAACTAATACAATTACAAAGACAAAGTAAATTAAGAAACTGATGATTAACTACAACCTTGGCCTTAAGTGAATTGCTGATATTGATTAAATATCAACCTATTTGAACATCAACTGTTTCCCCTTCTGCGGCTTCCCTCACCCAACCAACTTCTTCATCACGAAACATTATATTTTCTTCCAATTGTTGGCTCATATATGGCTCAATTTGTGGATCAGTCGAACTCATATCAAATAAACCTCTTTGAGACATCTTCACCGCCACTTGTCAGTCTGGTTGTAACAGGTCTGCAACATACCAAACTTGCTCTGCTTGGGATGCCAAGATGAAAGGTTCATTAGTAATTCTATTATCTCGATACAACAAATAATTGAAGTTGACTAACGTGAAATTGAAGACATCTTGTATCTTCCCGTGAATGTTGTCAATCCAATCACACTTAAACAACACATGCTTCTTCTCATTGGAATATCGAATCTCAACAATATCTGTCAATTGTCCATAATAGTACACAGACCCCACACGAGGATTCTTGTCTTTCCGACTAGCATAACTTATAGTATATGCCTTCAAAGCTACACCACAATTTTGTGTGGCTCGACGGTCATCCATGGCCTTTACTCGATACCGAAACCCATTCATTATATACCCGTTGAACCTCCTTGCCAGGCTATGAGGACCATTTGCCAATACAGTAATCTCTTCAGAAAATGTGACATCACTGTCCTTCGCAAAGTTTGTACCAATTTTAAATAATAAAAATTATAAAATTTAAAATATAGTTCGACTTAGGTAAATAGAATCTGTACATTTAAATGCATACATGTTCCTTGAACCAAATGTGAAAAGTTTCAAAATGTTCACGCCGAAGCTGATGATCGTCAACACGAGGCATTTTGACCTTAAATTCTTCAAGGTGTTTGCTGTGTAAATTGAAATTTTATCAAAAAACAAAATTTGGTTCAAAATTCAATGAAACATAATAAAATATTGAATGAGTGACATAACTTACATTATGAATGGTTGAACCGCGGCTGTATTGAATAAGACATATCGATGAGTTTGTACCCAAGAAATGTTATCAAGATAAAAGCTTGTGATTTCACCAACAGCACGACCCAGATTATCATCACCACTGTAGTTCCTCGTGGGTCGATTAGATTTAGTTTCCACATCATTGAGATATTGTGCACAAAAATTCATGCATTCTTCCATAAGATATCCTTTAGCAATTGAACCTTCTGGACGAGCTCTATTACGCACGTATTGCTTCAAAGTAAGAAGATACCTCTCAATTGGATACATCCATCGAAACTGAATCGCTCCACCCAATAATGCTTCGTCAACTAGATGTATAGGCAAGTGCTCCATTATATTAAAAAAAGTAGGAGGAAATATTTTCTCTAGATGACAAAGTGTTACGGCGATACGATCTTGAATATATTGCAAATCTGTCGCACGATTGACTTTGGAACACAATTGTCTAAAGAAATTGCTCAATTCAATCAAAGGTTCAATTACATTCTTCGGTAACGATCTTCGAATAGCCAATGGAATTAGTTGTTGCATCAGAATATGACTACCGTGGCTCTTAAGACCCCCAATACTTCTATCATGTAAGCGCACACGACGCGATATATTGGATGAATACCTGTCGGGAACTCTAACTTCCTTCAATACTTTCAAGAACAAATCTTTCTCATCCTTCGTCATCGTGAATTGTGCCGGTGGTAAATAAGCTTTATTCGACCCTCTTAATTGCAAATGTAGGGGTTTTCTAATATTCATTTCTTGTAAATCATGCCGAGCATTAATACCATCCTTCGATTTTCCTGCAACCCCTAATATTGTCCACAACATTTTATCACAAACATTCTTCTCTATATGCATCACATCAAGGTTGTGTCTAATTAGATTGTGCTCCCAATATGGCAGTTCATAGAAGATACTCTTTTTCTTCCAGCTATGGGTGCGATGTCCAACTTTCTCCTTCTCTACTTGTCTCCTATGCCTCTCCTTAAGGTCATCCCTCTTGTATTGGGTTAAAATACCCTCAGATTCTAATTGTAGCAGCATCTCAGTTCTAGACAACAATTTTGGTTTGAATCTGACTTCCCGACTACCATCAAATGATACTTTATCCTTTCGGAATTTATGGCCATTAGGTAAAAATCTGCGATGACTCAAGTATGATTGTTTCCTACTATGCTTCAACCAACACGATGTAGTTTCTCTATTGTAACAAGGACATGCATATTCACCTTTAGTACTCCATCCTAACAAGTTTGCATATCCAGGAAAATCACTAATTGTCCACAGTAAAGCTGCATGCATTTGAAACATTTGATTTGTTGATGCATCAAATGTGGAGACACCGTCATTCCATAGTTCTTTCAACTCCTAAATCAACGGTTGCATATACACATCAATCTTGTCACCAGGTCCTTTCGGGCCGTCAATAAGCACAGATAAAATTAGAAATGGTTGTTTCATGCACATCCATGGCGGCAAGTTGTATGGAATGAGTACAACAGGCCAAGTGCTATGAACTATGTTCATCATCCTGAATGGGTTAAAACCATCAGATGCTAAGCCAAGCCTTACATTTCGGCAATCATTACTAAAGTTAATATTCCGACGATCAAAATCTTTCCATGCAAGGGAGTCTGTAGGATGCCTAAAGACACCGTCATTAGTTCGTTCCTCTGCATGCCATCTCATTAACTTAGCCGTCTTGGATGACATAAACAGCCTCTGCAACCTTGGCTTTAAAGGAAAATACCTCATTTGTTTTGCAGCTATTTGTTTGCCACCGTTGTGAGGACCATTTGAACCACCATCACCATTTGATTTCCATCTTGAACTGTTGCATATGACACATTTATCAAGATTGGCGTCCTCGTTTCAAAACAATATACAACTGTTGGGACATGCATCCCATGTCTCATATGTGAAGCCCAAATCTGTTGTGACCTTTTGAGCTTTATAATATGAGTCCGAGAGTTTCACACCCAACGGAAATGCCTCATTCAATAACTCAAGCAACATGTCAACAGACTTGTTTGTCCACTGATTAAGCACCTTCAAATGTAGAAGCCGAACAATGAATGACAAAGATGTGAACTTCTGACAACCCGGATACAATTCACTTTGTGTATCTTGAAGAAGTTTGCAATAGTTTGCAGTCTCTGCATTTGGACCGAGCTGGGGTTCAGATGCATGGGGATCAGTGCTCTGTGCTTCATTATCGTCAACACTTGTACCGACATGTGGATTTCCCACAGCCCGTATCATTCCAACCATATCGTCGCCAATGTCTAAATTAGCCAATGTTTCATTTCCTCGATTAGCATGCAGAGATACGTAAGATTCCCCATGATTAATCCAATGTTTGCACTTTTTAAAAAAACCATTCAAAATCAGATGCTTCCGTACACCCTCTCGCACAAGATGGTATCGATTCTCACATTTTCTACACGGACAACTAATCATCGAACCTTCAACCCTATTGGTGTAGGCAAACACAAGGAATTGATCAATCCCATTAATGTATTCCCTCGACATCGTATTTGGAAAATCAATCCAACTCTTATCCATCATCTGTACTTCCCTTATATGTGTTTCCCACTATTAATTTGCTTCAGGCAAACTTACTAGGAGATATACATCTCACATACAAAACAAATATGCCCTAGAAAAAAATATAATTACAACAAATGTAAGAGTCATAATGAGATGAGAGGGTAAAAATATAATTACAAGACATAATATCACATATTAATTTATCACCGCATTATTGCAATAAGTTGATTGAGCTAAAACTATATCCAGACTTTGATCTGGTCATGATAAGACAAGATGCAAACAGATAAAATACAAAACAATGCCACTGCTAAAATCATAACTTTTAGGCTTTACCAACATTGTTCCCTCTCACATAGGTGGACCCGACATGAGAAAGGAGGCTGTGGAATCTGGATGCAGCCATAACGGTTGTGGATTTAGCAATCTCCTAAACACTACTAAAGAAGTGCATCATTCTCATGGCACCTTTACTGGCCAGACAAAGATTAATATATAACAAATATGATGGAAACAAATATGACTGGCACTTCATCTTCAGATATGTTTAGATCGCTCACTTCATTTTAATTTTCGTATCTTCTCCATGTTCTTTTTCTTTCCTTTTACAAATCCAAGAACCAAACAAAACACAAAATAAATATTTGATGGGGAAATTACACAAATAACCCATGGCTTTGTCTAATCACAAATTAAACTTTTAATTTTTAATTTTTCTCAACTAAAACCCTGCACTTTATAAACTATATCTATGTCAACACTCTGTCCATTTCTGTCTAGGTGTCTAACAGAGCAAAAAATGCATAGAACACATGGCACGCCTTCCCTATTCCCTGGCATAATTTTTATTCAAATATATATATGATGTGATACCATTTACAACAGAGGAAGCAAACTAAAGGCCACAAGCATACCACTTAATTAAAAATAAACTACTAGTTATTAATTCAATGTCCACACAACGGTTACTAGAACGGGGAGCAGAAGTAGGAGATGTTAATGATAACTTACATGGTTCAAAATACATAAAATGGAAAATTAGCAGCTCAATAAAAATGGACAATTAGTTGAGTATTCCTTTTTACTCAACCTGTGAATTTCAAAGAAAATGTACAAATCCTTCTTGGACGAGTTAACAACATTGAAAAAACTTCAAGCTAGAGTAAGAGGTGTAAATATAAAACGAAATAATGTTCTGAATAACTTCATACATAATGCTGTCAAGGAAGGATATTCAGGAAATGGTAATAGAACTTCATAAATTATGTGCTTAATAACATGGAGTTGCATGAAAAAAGAGAAAAATACCAATAGCAGAATAATGCTAAATTATCCAAAATAAGGAAAGAATTACATTTCATTTTATTTTAAAGGGCTAGGCAAGGTTTTTGGTGTTTTACTTTATACGTCAGACAAGGTTAAGTAGCAGAACAGCATCGACGCAATAAAATCTCAAGACCTGTTCCACCATAACTCTATAACCACCGAGCGTTTAGTTCTTTACAGAAGATCACAAGATATGAAGCCAGTGATGGAAATACCCGCAAAATAATTAATAACACAACTGCTCATAAGCTCAATTAGCTACATGCATTGCTAGTGTTAACATATAATATACATCCCACTAGCATTTGTAGCTGTAAAGGGCCTTGTAGCTGTAAAGCTTATTGATTAACTTCCACCAAAGGCACCATGAACCAAGAGTCAGTATTGGACTGGCAAAGCAAAGCCAAATATGTGAGAGCTTATATGTTTTCTTAAGCAAAACCAGCAATCACACATGCCCTAGTTGGAATCTCATTTTATAGATAATTTATAAGAATTTCAACTAGGCTAACAAGACCACGCCATCTGATCACATACTTTAATTACTAACACACGCATGCATTTTTGCACCTAATTAGGAAAGAACAGTTGAAATTGAATTGAAAAATTTGCTAACCCTCGTTCTTGCCTCGTCACTCGTTCACAGTCTTGCCTCGTCACTCGTCGTTCGCAGTCGTTCACCCTCGTTCTTGCCTCGTCACTCGTTGTTCACAGTCGTTCGTCACTCGTCGTTCACAGTCGCTGCCTGTCACTCCGGCGAAGGCCGTTGTTCACCCTCGTCAATCTGCGAATGCCGCCGTTCACCCTCTTTCACCACAGCACTGAACGATTTTCATTTCAGGATTTTGGGGATTCTGGGATTCGGATTTTGGGGGTTTTGGTTTGGAGAGTTTAGGGATTTTGATTTGGGGGTTTTGGTTGGGTGAGTTTAGGGATTGGGATTTTGGGGATTTTAGGATGACCGCGAATGGGAGAAATCCCCGCGAATGTGTGAATTTTTTTTTTTTTTTTTTTTGCGACGAAATATATACCACCGTTGCAAATGATACTTGATTAACAAAGTAAAACGACGTCGTTTTACAAAAATTTTTTTTGCGACGGGCTTATACCATAACAAATGGTCCACCATTTGCGACCGCAACTCTTTACCGTCGCTAAAAAATACTTTTTGCGACGGTATACGTGCGTCGCAAATGCTCCTGCATTTTTCGGTGAAATGTATTAGCGACGGAGGCAAACCCGTCGCAAAACCACTTTTTGGCGACGGCAACTACACTGCGTCGCAAAAATTCATTTTTTGCGACGGCAGGTTCCCCATCGCAAAAGCCTCCGTGTTATATAACAGATTTTCTTGTAGTGTCTTACAAGAAAATTAACTGATATTTTAAGTCGCCGTTTGACATTGATTTTTTTAATTGCTTTTTTTGAGTTGAGACTTTTTTAATTTGGGACTAAAAAGTTCGTTTGATTTGACTTTTTAAGTTATTTTAACTTTTTTGAGAAAAAAATAAAATAATTATAATTTAAATATAATATTTTACCTTATTAATTTATTTAATTTATCTTCTTTTTTTTTTAATTTTTTAACCTAACTAAATTAGTCAGAGGAAGACTAAAAGATGCTCTTATGATGCTGGCGTGGTAAGAACAAGGACAATATCCATAAAGTGACGAAGAAATGTTTGGGATTGGTAAAGTAGTCTGTAGCTAGCACTAGGGGTGTGCATAATACCGCCGAAACCGTCGAAACCGCCAAAATCGCACCGAACCGCACCGTCAAGGCAAATTCGTTATTATTTGCCAATCGAACCGCCGGTTTTTGGTAAGAAAAATGGCAAATTCTAGTGACGTCATTATTTGCCAACCGAACCGCCGTTTTTTGATAAGAAAAATGGCAATTTCTAGTGACACTTTTATCAACCCCCCCCCCGCCATACGGTTTCTATTTTTCTCTCAAACCGCACCGACCCGCACCGTGCACACCCCTAGCTAGCACATTGGTTGTCGTAAATATATATAGTTTATGAATAATATTATATATATTAATTAATATATTAACAAATGATATAATATAATTTTAAAAATTTAAAATATTTATAATTTGTATCATAAGTAGAATAAATCATATAATATTAATTAATATATTAATATATATATTAATTGATGCAAGTAATATCATGTATATTATATATTTTATCACTAAGGTTAAGTTTGACAATTCAAAAATAATCTATCTTTTTATCTTTTTATTTTTTTTCATCACATCACCTCTCTACTTTTGTACACATCTTTTTGTAAAAAGACAAAAAGTACACTTATTTAGGTCATCCCAAACAACCCTTAGCTTCCGTTTGGAAAGTGGGTTGGCTTTTTGATTTTTTTGGTTATTTTAGCCTGGGCTAAAAAGTTTGGTTTGTGAAAGGCTTTTTGACTTTTTGAATTTTTTAATTTTTTTGTGAGAGAAGAATGTAATAATTATAGATTAGATGTGATATTTTATTTTTTGTGACTAAAATAGTCAAAAAAATCCCGTTTAACCCTCGCCAAACGGACCCTTAACAGTTTTTGAAAAATGAGAAAGAAATGAATGCTAGAATATGGAGGACAACTGCGAGTGCGAACATCAACCCAATCATGGGCTCTGACACCCTCATCAGAAACCCAATTAAAGAGTAGCTGTCAAACATTGAGTTTTCATGCAGATATTCACTACCCTACCATACGTAAAACTATCATAGTTTTGAGACATATGACAATTTTGGAAGGCGTTAAAAAAAATAAAAAAATAAAAAAATAAAAGTTATTTTTTAATTTATTTTAGAGCATTGATAGAGACCCCCTCCAATCACCACCCCCACCACCCCACACACACGTGGCGGTTGGTGATTGGAGGAGAATGAAAAGAAGAAAAATAGAAAAAAAAAACTGGCCAATGAGAGGAAAAGAGGTCAAAGGGGGTGGGAGGGAAAGGGGGTCTCAAACATTTTTGTTTATTTTAAATCATAATTTTTAGAAAAATGCTTGGGAGCACTAATTAGTGCTCCCACTAATTAGGTGACAGTGGGTCCCGCCATTAATGATGTGATGTTTTGGTCTTGGAGTTGTATTTTTTTATTTTTTTTTATTTTTTTAATGCATTAGTGTTATTAGTGGTGATATTTTTAGTGGGATGAATCATTGTTGTAATTTTTATATACTTTTTAATAAAAATAAAAAATTTAATTTTTAACCATCTTTTTAAGATAGGTTATAATCAAGTAATATTTGAAGGATGATAATTTGTGATTTTGTTTTTGATCATATGAAAATAATGAAAGATTTAATACAATGGTAAATTTAAGATTTTTTGAAATTTTAAACTAAATAAAATGAGACATTCACAATAAGATTTTTTTTAAAATTCTTTTGGAGACCTTAGACTATATGATAAGTAGCTTAATAGTTGAATTACTTTTGGCTTGGCTTAACATTTGGTGATTAATGGGGCAGAGACAAATCATATCCTTAGATCACCTAATTTTTTTTTTCCACTACTATATTTGATGGAAATATTATATATTTGAGTTTTTCTTAATTTTAAATCTAAAGTTGAGAAGTTCATGGGACATATCATGAATCTTGTTTTAATGATCTAAATAATTTATTTCATAAAATTTTCAATATTTATCATCTTTTGAAAAAATTCTGTCAATTTGATAATTGTAATATTTCATTTTGTAATGTTTGTCTCTAAAAAATGGATAACAAATATATTTTTCAAAATAGATCATTCTTTTTTTTTTAGACAAATATAATAAAATAAAAATATTACAATTATCAAATTGAAATAATTTTTTTTATGAATGATATATATGAAATACCTTATAAAATTAACGGTTTGAATTATCAAAATAAAATTATAATGAACTCCATAGACCTCTCAATTTCTCTTAAGTTTACAAACTAACCCTAAAATTATTATGGGTTATGTTAATGACAGGCTTTAAAGCTGTCAATAAAAAATAGATAAAGACAATATATTTAAAATTTCAATACACATTTTATGTATTATTAATATTTTTATAAATTTTAATAAATATTTTACATATATATATATATATATATTAAGATTAATGACAATAGTAAGAGTTATTTTAAATTTTCCTATTATTGTTATGCGACAGATAATAATAGGACCTCTTCCTCGGAAATTGTTCATCCTGCAATTACTGTACCAACTGGTCCCAATTGTCACTCCCTCGACCATTGGAGTTGGAATTCACATCCATGGGCCGCAAAATACCACCTCTCAGTTAACCACACAAAAAATATTTCTATACAAATAAATAAATATTTTGTATAAATTATTTTAAATGTGACGTATGCCTCTTTAACCTATTCTTTAAATTCACTAGTTTAAATTTGGAATTTTTTTTTTAAGGTCCTTGATCTTATGATTTTATAGCATAAAGGACATCAAATATTTTTATGATGTCTAAGGTCCATCAACAATATTTTCATAATGTCTAAGGTCCCTCAACCTTGATCCAGAGAAATTTCAGTCCAGAGAAAATTGGTCCAGAGAAATTTCAGTCCAGAGAAAATTGGTCCAGAGAAATTTCAGTCCAGAGAAAATTGGTCCAGAGAAATTTCAGTCCAGAGAAAATTGGTCCAGAGAAATTTCAGTCCAGAGAAAATTGGTCCAGAGAAATTTCAGTCCAGAGAAAATTGGTCCAGAGAAATTTCAGTCCAGAGAAAATTGGTCCAGAGAAATTTCAGTCCAGAGAAAATTGGTCCAGAGAAATTTCAGTCCAGAGAAAATTGGTCCAGAGAAATTTCAGTCCAGAGAAAATTGGTCCAGAGAAATTTCAGTCCAGAGAAAATTGGTCCAGAGAAATTTCAGTCCAGAGAAAATTGGTCCAGAGAAATTTCAGTCCAGAGAAAATTGGTCCAGAGAAATTTCAGTCCAGAGAAAATTGGTCCAGAGAAATTTCAGTCCAGAGAAAATTGGTCCAGAGAAATTTCAGTCCAGAGAAAATTGGTCCAGAGAAATTTCAGTCCAGAGAAAATTGGTCCAGAGAAATTTCAGTCCAGAGAAAATTGGTCCAGAGAAATTTCAGTCCAGAGAAAATTGGTCCAGAGAAATTTCAGTCCAGAGAAAATTGGTCCAGAGAAATTTCAGTCCAGAGAAAATTGGTCCAGAGAAATTTCAGGAATTTTCTCTGGACTTCACAGAGAAATTCTGGTTCACAACAAGTAGATGGCTGTCCACTAGAAGCAGAATCTTCCATCCATGTATGATGTGATAAAGGAACTTTTTCTCTGTCCATAAAACATACAAAAGAGCATCCAGAGTCTTCCATCCATGCATAATCTTTCATCCATGTCTGTCCACCAGTGCTTCAAAAGAGCATCCTGCAAAATAAGATCATTGCTCGCTTGTGCTTCTACATCTTGCTTCTCAGTCTTTTCAATTTCAGGAACTAAAGCATCTGTTTCAAACATAGAAGAAGTTGAAGTTTTTTCCTCCCCAAAACTCTTAGTCTCCCCAGGCTCTGAAACAGCTGCATCTCCTACAACCAGACATTTCATTTCTTGTTCTTTTGCATCTTGCTTCCCAGATTGATCATCACACTTGTTCATTGTAAGGTGCAAATCTAAAGCATTAGGGACAGAAGAGTAAGGAAAGTGTATGAAATAGACTGTAAAAGCTTGACGGAATAGTAGGGAAAACAGGGGATGATGAATTAAAATGAAATTGAAGGGGTTCAAGAACTTGAAACCCTAGAATGAGAAAGTGTATGAAAGAGGAGGAGGAAGAGGAACCTCGTTGATTATCGCCCTACATGTCCACAATTCCACTTCTTGGAGACCAATTAAGCATTCGACGAACGATGAGAGTGATGATTCATCGCCGATTGCATAGCAGCTTCGCAATTGGAGTTTCTTGAGCTGTTTACAACTCCTCCAGAGCCAACTGAGGCCGTAATTGCAGTGTTGAATCCCGGACAAACCTAGGGTTTCTAATTGAAGTTTGGTTTCGGAGTTTCCGATCATTGAATCGGTCAAATTGAGTTTGTGTAAATCGAATTGTCCAGTGTTGAAGACGATCGAGAGGTCTTTCAGTGAGTGGAAAGAGATGAGCCAGTGAAACTTTCATCTGATATATGTTTAGGGACCTTAGACATCAAAAAATAATTTTGTGGATCTCTTCCATTACGAAAAGTGGAAGAGGGACCCTAGACCGATTTTCCCTTTAAGTTTTTTATTATAATCTAAATTGTTTATAATTTTTTTATTTTTAAAATTTGTGTCACATTATTTAGTGTAATTTATATTTATAATTTACTAGTATTACACCTGTACTATGCACGATATCATCACATAGCTAAAAAATAATATTAATATTAAATAATAATTAAAAAATATTTTAAAATATAGAGATAAAAGAGATTTAAAATCAAACAATTTCTAATTATTTTCATAATATTTACTGTTATTATTATTTTAGTCTTGTCATCAACGTTGTCTTTTACATATTAAAAACAAAAATGTACTAACATTAAGGTCAAAAATAGAATAAATTATAAAAATTATACTTAGTATAAAACATAAATAAATTACATTATGAAACTGTGTAATTGTAACTTATCTTATGTTCATCCAATAATATAACAAATTAAATGTGTCAATTAACTTTTATCCTTTATTTTCTTTGTGAAACTCAATAAAATGGCTAACATTAAAATTAATTTATAGAATAAAATAGCAAAGAGAATAAAGGAAATAGTTTATTCTCAATTACCCCTCAAATTAATTTTCACCTTGTTAAGAATAACTGTAAGATCTCCTCTCAAATAGATCAATTATAGTTAAGTTAACCATTAAAAATAAAAATTAAAGTTCAAACTTGAGACTAATATTTTCCTAATTTTAAAATTAATATATATTTAATTTTCATATTATAAAAAATTAATTATACCAATATCTCTTCAACTATTTATGAATATCATCTCATAAAGTAACTTTTCTTGATGCAAACCCACTAAAACAACCATCATTGTTTGAATGATATGACACTTTTAAAATTAATTTATTAAATAAAATATATATATATATATATATTTACATATAAAATAATGTAAATGAGTTAGCCCCCAAACTTACTTTTTTTGGCTTTTCTAATTTAACCATAAAGCCTAGCCTATTGATAAAAACTATAGTGTAGGCTCGATTTTTTATTTTGTTTTGGACCAACTACGGATAACATTAGATTATGGAGTTTATTATGATTTATTTTAGGGAAAATCGGTTTAAGGTCTCTATCTAACTTTTAGTAATAGATTAGGTCCACAATCTGTTCTTTTGTAGTCTAAGGTCCCTCACTCCATTCCCACTCCTAAACTCACCCATCTCACACCACTCTCACCACCACCACCACCGCCGGAATCTCGCTACTCTCTTCCACTCCTCCAAATCCCCAAACTCAACCTTCTTTCTTTTTCTCCCATTATTATAAAAACTCTGCTTCTAAAATTTTCCAGAACCTGCTTCATCTCTCTCTCTCTCTCTCTCCCTCTGTGGTGGCCATCGAGTCTCCCCTGCTTTTTCATAATCTCAAGTTCATTTTGAGTTTGTTGTTGGACAATATGATGGCTACACTGAGGACCCAACAGTTTCAGACAACTCAAATACTGCCACTTTTGCAACTATGATTCTGCGAATTCACAATGAAATATGGGAATGTGTGATATAAGATATCTACACAAAGTGAAGCATTCTATCACAGATCTGGCGCACTCTCGAGTTCGTTTCTGGGTTCTATTGCTGGGGTTAGGAGTTCCTCACTGCTCTCTTGTTCTTTAGTGGTTCCTTCTAAACAACAAATACTTGAACATCCCCAAAAACAAAACTAGGGAAATTCGAGTTTTCCTCAGATTTCTTCTTATTTCACTAGATTATTATGTTGTTTTTTCAGATTTGTTCTGATTTCATAGATTATTTTTTGTGAGTTTGGTGAGAGATTGATCGATTGATTGATTTGTTGGGTGGGAGATGGGGCAGAGGTCAGTTCCGGCACCGTTTCTTACGAAAACATACCAGTTGGTGGATGATCCGAGCAGCTAACATTCATCCCCCGCCAACCTACCAGTCTCTTTTTCTCTCAAGGTATTCTCTATCCTCTCATTTCCCTGAAACTCCTTCAATTTTATTCATGCATATATATATATATATATATAGAGAGAGAGAGAGAGAGAAAAGAAAGCTAATTTATATGATATACACTCATTGATCGAGACAGATTGGGCGATCCATGGCGGTGTTTCACTTCAGTCTTGTTGTTTCCTTGCTTCTATTGCTGTGCCTGCTTGCACCTTTCACTCAAGCCTCTGATGTTCGCTAATGTTAAGGCAATTCAGAAGTGGAATATTTGTCAGAAACAAAATTAGAGAGAGCGAGAAGATAATATTGACATATATGGTGAACAACCCAAATTGCTATTATCCAGTACATGGTGGTTTTACGACAACTGTTGTTTGGTTTTATTCCTTGATATCTCAATCTTATGTAAATTTACTGAAGTTCAGATCAGCCATTTATTCGGTTAGGTGCAGCATTTGAGTTGTTGCTATTTCACAAGCAGCTCAGGTAATGCTTGCTCTCGTCACAGGCCGAGTATGTAAGCAAATCAGATTGAATTTTCTTTGGATTGTGTGATTTTTCTCTTGATGTGTGAATTTTCTCCGGATTGTGTGATTTTTCTCTTGATATGTGAATTTTCTCTGGACTATGAATTTTTTCCAGATGTGTGAATTTTCTCTGGACATATGAATTTTCTCTGTGCCGACTTGCAGTTCATAGTTTTCACACCTGTGTTGACAGGTAACAAAAATACCCATTAGAGAAAACCTAAAAGCTAAGAAGGTGTCCAATAGAAACCCATATTCATGTTTCTTTCATATACATATATATCCAAAAATTCAAGTCTTGTATTTTTGTTAATATAATACAGTTCAGTTTGTCAAGATTTTGGATTTTCTCTGGTAAAGGATTTAAATTTTCTCTGGTTTTATAGAGAAAAGATCCTATACAAAAACAAACAATTTTGTTCAGATAAATTTCATTTTTCTCTAGAGAGAAGGGAAATTTCTCTAGTTTGGGTTGGAAAGGGAGAATTTCTCTGGGTTAAGTGAATTTCTCTGGATTGGAGATGAGAATTTCTCTGGTTTTCAGTGAATTTCTCTATGCAGTCCAGAATTTCTCTGAATAGAATTTCACTGGAAAAAATTTTCCTGGGCTGAAATTTCTCTAGACTAGAATTTCTTTGGATCAATATTAAGGGACTTTAGACATTATGAAAATATTAAATGTCTTTTATACTATAAAATCACAATGCTGGGGACCTTAAAAAAAAAAACCCTAGTTTAAGGTCCCTGCAGTCCAGAATTTCTCTGGAAAAAATTTTCCTGGGCTGAAATTTCTCTAGACTAGAATTTCTTTGGATCAATATTAAGGGACTTTAGACATTATGAAAATATTAAATGTCTTTTATACTATAAAATCACAATGCTGGGGACCTTAAAAAAAAAAACCCTAGTTTAAGGTCCCTCTCTCATTTTTAGTAATGGAAGAGATCCATAATATTATTTTTTGATGTATAAGGTCCTCACAGAGAAATTTATATATCTCACACTCTCTATCTCTCTCTCCTATTGCTCTTCTCTCTCTTTCTCTCATCGATCTCAATTTAAAACCCTAGATCTTTCTCTCTCTCCTTACCTAGATCTATCTCTCTCATCTTCTTCTCTCATCTTCGGTTTCTCACCGCTGCCATCGTCTCCATCTCCATCATCGTCTCTCTCTTGTATGAGAGTTTACTTTGAGTTTTGGTCGAAGCAAAGAAAATTTTAAACTGGAAACAATTACTCTGAGTTTCGTCAAGAAGTTAGGCTGAAGCAAAGAAAGTTTACACTGAGTTTCGTCAAAGCAGAGAAAGTTTTGGAAGATTACTCTGAGTGTGAGATAAGTTGAAGATAAGAGAAAAAGATGAGATAAGCCGAAGATAAGTCTCCATCATAAGCAATTACTTTGAACGTGAGATGAGTCTTAGTTATCTTAATAATTACTCTAAAGGTGAGATAAGTCTCCATCATATCTATATCAGTTACTAAGATATACACAAAGACTCCATTATAAGCAACTGTGATGAGTGTTTATGTATAAATATCAATTTACTCTGAAAAGAAAGTTTTGGAGGATTGCTTATGATATATGTTTGGGTTCAAATGTTTAAGAGCCCAAATTAGATAAATTTGAAAACACATAAAAAAGTTGTTGCTGAAAATTCAATAGTGAGCAAAATCTAACTTTGTATTCATGAGCTTGATTGGTGTATTTCCATGCCTAAACTAGATAAATTCTTTTATCTGTTTTTTTGTTTTTGTTTTTGTTTTTTGTTCAATTTTCTCTGGTTTGATCAAAAACACAAATTTCCTTTACACAATTTTCTCTGGATAGAGTCACACAAAGCCATAGAAATTTTCTCTGCTAAGTGAAGGCAAGAATTTCTCAAATTTCTCTGGATTCAACCCAGAGAAATTTAAATTTTCTCTGGATTCATGATAACGGATACCATAGATGAA